GCCATATTCAATGAGGACCACGATGAGATGGTGATTGTGAAGGACATCGACATGTTTTCTCTGTGCGAGCATCATCTGGTGCCCTTTTTTGGGAAGGTGAATATCAACTTCAGCTTTCAACTGCAGATTGTCTTTTTTTCCTCTATTCTCACTTTCATCTCTTCACCCCAGGTTCACGTCGGCTACATCCCCAACAAAAAAGTGGTGGGACTGAGCAAGCTGGCAAGGTAACACGACACAACCGCCCCCGCTGTCCACTGTGTGCCTGTGGCGTTAGTGCCGGGCGACTGGATTCTTCTGTTATCTCAGTGCTTTGACCTGGAGGCTTAGAGTCTGAGCCCCGCGGCCATCACCGGGTCCCTTCGTCGAGCACAGTGACAGACACAAGTCCATTTCTCCTTTCATTCCTGTGGGAATCATCAGTTATTATGACAGCCTCTTTTGTCTCTCCTTCCACCCCCACTTTCTTCTTGAAAATCACAGCCTAAAACACCGAAAAATGATTTTTTTTATATGAACTCACTGTCGCCGCATCTTTTTGGCAAACTCTGCACGGTGAATGATACACAGGAGAAAAAGTCCATATAGTTGGGGGGCAGACGTCAGGGACGTGTGCCAGATATTATCAACAGATTAATCATTAYTACGCCTGATCCTTATCAGTTGTCTGCTTTTTTTTTTGTTTTGTTTTCTGCAGGATTGTGGAGATCTTCAGCAGGAGGCTTCAAGGTAGAKAAAAAGACAAAGAAATGACAGAGCTAAATCTTGTCAAATCAGGTTTTTAAAGTTAACATCGGCTTGTTTTGTTTCCTTTCAGTGCAGGAGCGTCTGACCAAGCAGATTGCCTTGGGAATATCTGAGGCCCTGCAGCCAGTGGGTGTAGCTGTGGTTATAGAAGCATCGTAAGGAAAACCACAGCTCAACTTTATGCACAAATACATTTATTCCTGATTAAATAAAACCGAGGGAATGAAACATGAACAAGGTTATCCTGAACCACTTCAAGTGAAGTTTGAAAGAGTTTAGTTTTTCACAAATATTATGTAATTCTGAAATGTGGGTCTGCACTTGGTGTAAACAAAGAACTCAGCTGGGTGTGGAAGCCTGAGTCACTGACCTACATTAGGCTGGCTGTAGTCTGTGTGGGTGAACAATATGACAACATTGGACAAGCATAGAACTTTGATACTAATATAGGTGTGAATCTGGTGCTGAACAAGAAACAAATGTTGCCATTTAGTCACTTTGGCTCATTCTATAGGTAAACAAACACAACCATTCACAAATTTAGCTTCCAGTTTTTTTAAAGAATACATTAACTTTTAATCTTCTTTGTAAAGTCAAATTTTATGCATGAAAATAGTTGGTATCTCCTTTTAAATGTATTTTCTTTGGACCAAAGAATTGCTGCAGCTACATGTGTATGTGTGTGTGTGTGTTCGCAGGCACATGTGCATGGTGATGCGTGGCGTCCAGAAGATGAACAGCCGCACGGTGACGAGCACCATGCTGGGAGCTTACCTGGAGGACCCCAAGACCCGGGAGGAGTTCCTGGCTCTCACCAKGCACGCCTAACCAACCTCAAACACTCGTCCCTCCGCACACGGGAAGCTCTGGAGTCGGTCCGAAACGTGACGTCACTTTAAACACACACACACAWACACACACACCAGGATRACAGGCGTGAAGTTGCAGCAGGACCTCCAGCTCCTGACTTTAAACTCAGCAACACACTGAAGCCAGAACGCTTTTAGATTCAAACCACTGTGATCGCAGCAAAAACACAAGTCTTTGGTGCCTTTAATAGATATTTTATAGTCTTAATGTTATAAAACAAATGAGCTGAGTGCACTGTTGTAACAAAACTGAAAATACTTAAGATTCAATGTTTGTTTTTCTTTTTTTTTTTTCCCCTTTTTTTTCACCCCTGATGGGAATTTTATTGGTGCTTTTCCAAAAACTGTTGTTTCGTATCTTAATATTGTATTTAGAATTCTCTGGCTTTAGGAATTTAGCAAAATACACAGTATGTCATTTATAAGGACATTTTTTAAACTCTTTTTATTGTGTGATCTTTGAAGATATTAAGTCCAAATGTTTGATCTCAAGTCCAAAGAATTACTGTAAATCTGTGATCAAAGATGATGGTATTTGTGTATCCAGGAGTCTGAAATAATAAAAAAAATTATGCATATAAAAGTATTTTTATTGTTGTTTTTCTCTTAAAAAACAGACTTTTCTATAAATTAAGTACAATTTTTATTTGGCTTTCTACAATTGTGACTTCACCGTGGAAATGCTTTCTAAATAGACTAAATTAAAAGTGAGGCTTGGTGGTTTCTTCTGTTTGATCATAAACCACAGTTTAAACAATTATTTAAAGATTTTATTCTTTTGAGTAGGATATAATTGTTGTAGAAAATGTCACATTTGAACTTTTTTTTCTTTGCATCAAAATTCTTGTTGCAGTTTTGAAAAAAGTGTAAATAAACAAAGCAAATTTCTATGATTTAATCAACTATATTAGAAGTTAGCCTAAGCTGTGTTTATGTCACGTTAAGAACATGAAGGACGACTTTAGTTTTAATGGGGTTTATTTCCAGATCGGGGAATGAATTCTGAATGAATGACTCCAATAAACAGATGATTTTCTGATGTCACAATCTGACRTAGTTATTCGGTTTCAACCTTTTAATTTTTTATGTAAATTGATCAGTTAGTGAAAATTAGAACGTGTCAAACAAAGAAACACTGAAGGCATTATTCAGCTTCTGAGTGGGACCTTTGAACTAAAACAGAATCTCTGTCAAACATCAACGGACTCGTTTTCTTGGAATCCCCTCATAATCAAACAAGATACACATATTTCTGACTAATCTACATGAAGCCCTAAAACCATGACSCCAGTGGAGCTAAAAGTGTTCACATACAGCCTCTTTTTCAGGAACTTTCAGTAAAACAGCAAATATGTTGTTTTTTTTTCATGAATTGTATAAGTGGTTTATATTTCCTGTGATGTTTGGAACATTAGGCCTTGTTTAGTTCCAAGTTGACCTGTTGAAATGCAGCTCAAGAGCTCCGTTTAATATAGTTCCTTTGAAAAATCAGATTTTGACTCCATCATGTTGTTCTGAGCATCTTATGGATGCAGTAGTACCATCTATGGGACAGCAACTGACAGAGTTGTAAAGTAACTAAGTACAAATCCTTAGTTACTGTACTCAAGTAGAATTTTTGGCTATCTGTACTTTACTTGAGTAATTATGTTTCAGCCTACTTTTTGCTTCTACTTCTTACGTTTTCACACAATTATCTGTACTTTCTACTCCTTATATTTTAAAAAGGCAAGAAGTAGAAAGTCGTTACTTTTATTTTTGTTTGTTTTCATTCCAGCTTGTTATTGTAAAAAAAATATTATCCATTTAACTTTTTTTTTGGAGGGAGGTCACCTCCTAATGTCATTACGTAAAATCTAACTGCTCATTTTAAATCAATACTTTTACTTTTAATACTTAATAAGTACAAAAAATATCAGACACTTTAAGACTTTTACTCAAGTAATATTCCTAAATGAGACTTTAACTTTTACCAAAGTAATTCTTTGGTAAGATACTTGTACTTTTACTCAACTATCACGTTGTGGTACTTTATACAGCACTGCTTATGCATCAGGTTTTTAGACAAGTTTGTAAACAAGTTTATGTAGTCACTGCTTTAACTTTTAGAAATTTCATTTCAGAATAAAACATCCAGGGGGGTGAATACTTTGTATAAGCACTGTGCAATAATCTGCAGAGGGCAATATTGTGGATGACAGACCTGAAACACCATCCTGACAAATCCTGGTGATTTTAATCCGATGATGTGACAGATGGAGAGCTGTGATGTTTGCCTCTGGCTAAAGGCAGTCAGTCAGCGTTGGACGGGGAGCTGAGAGAAGAGGCAGGGCAGGCTGGAAATGCTTTGGCTCGGCGGTTTGTGAACGTCTGAAACAAAAGGAAAACATGGAAGCATGACTGGACACTGACCAGAAGACACACAAGGTAATTTATCACCCCAAATTACGAAGAGACGCTCTCGTTGCTCGGCTTTCACTTTGTATCGTCTGAGTAAGCTAACTAGCTAGCGTCAATCATAGCAGTTATACAAGTTTACCTCGCGGCTTCGAGTCCCGCTGCTTTAAGAACATTAACTTCTCAGGTCAGCTGGCGTAACGGGCTTCTTCACACCGAGGTACGGCAGAAAGTTTGGGGGAAATTAAAAATATATATATTTAGATATATCAGAGCGCGTGGCAGTAGATGCGACCTCCCCGGGTCCCTTATTAGCATTGCTAGCTCGCCTTCATGTGGGCTAAAAATTGAGACGGGACCGACTCTGGGTGGAAATAATGCCGAAGAAAGCTCGACACCACACNTCGTTACTTTTATTTTTGTTTGTTTTCATTCCAGCTTGTTATTGTAAAAAAAATATTATCCATTTAACTTTTTTTTTGGAGGGAGGTCACCTCCTCCTAATGTCATTACGTAAAATCTAACTGCTCATTTTAAATCAATAATTTTACTTTTAATACTTAAGTACAAAATATAACAGATACTTTAAGACTTTTACTCAAGTATTATCCCTAAAGGAGACTTTAACTTTTACCAAAGTAATTTTTTGGTAAGAAACTTGTACTTTTACTCAAGTATCACTTTGTGGTACTTTATACAACACTGGCAACATGTTTCCAACATCGAAACAAAACGATTAAGATGTTTCTGAAACTAGAAAGCAYCATTTATGAGATCGCAACTTTTTATTCCAGAGGCTAATTTTTATTTAGTTAAAGCAACCCAAACAGCACATATTAAACATGGAYACTTATATGATGCTCTGCACATTGACTTCACCAAACATCAAAAAATTCATTTGGTGACAGGTTTTTTTAAACATATTTCAGCACTTTTACAGACAAGTTTGTGTTGCAGTTAACACACCTGACTGAAAGTTGTTCCAATAGATTTAGTTCTAAATAGTAAAAGTAGTATTTAGTTTGGTTCCCCGACACGTTCATAATTTATCTAGTTTTTCTAGTAAAAATGCAATTTTGAAGTCTAATTAAGTCCAAAACAGAGAAAGTTTTCTGCTGGATGCAGCTAAAAAAAAAGTGTCACCTGTATGTCATTCACCTCAAGGAACAGAGAAGAGTTATAGTTTTTATAACTACTTCTGTATTACAATGTTTTATTTATTATGGCAGCTTTGACGGCCAAATGGAGATAATCCAGGGGCCACTTGTGGCACACRGGTCACATTTTGCCCATGTTGGTTTCAAGAAAACTCTCCAAAAGCATCCACGTGCTGYTGGTGGCAAAGAAAAGAAAGCGACTGTGTTGAAATGAAACGCTCACTAAAATCACCATTCAGTACATTTCATTCTGTGGTTTATAACAAAAAGTTATGGTAAAACATAGAAATGACTGCAAAACAAATGAAAGTGGTGGAACTAAAATAAAAATCAACAAACTTTCTATTTAAAACTAGCTCACTCTTTAGTCATAGCTAATGAAAGTGCCGATTCTTCTAAACAACACAGAGGCCGTCACATTGATCATATTTTAACTTTATTACTGTGTTATGGTACAACAGCGTAAATCGAACATACTGAAACGTGTGCGCACACGTGGCTGAAGGCCTGCGGCGGAGCGTGCCCTTTAAATATCAAAGGTGTCGTCAAACAGGACTGAACTACAACCTCCGTCTCTGACAGCAGACCGAGGGGTGAGGTGGGTCACAGC